CCTACATATATATACATATTGAGAGAGAGGGAGAGGGAGGAGATATGTACATACCTCTATATAGGATATGTACATATAGGACACCTATTTTATATATATATGTTTATATATAGATCATATATCTATATCTATATATTTATATCTATCCTAGGCCAGCATTTCCTTGACTCTATAGGCAGTATAGTACACTGATTGGAGCACTTACTGTTCATATGACTCTGATCAAGTCACTTACCTCCCTGTATTTTACTTTGTCTATAAAATCGTGCAATTAAAGTACATAGCACATAAAATTGCTATGAATATTAAATAAGATGATATATATGAGAAATTAATAATAGTCCAAGCACAGAATATGCTAAAATAAAATGTTAATTATGACTACTACTCTATGATTATTTTGAGTCAATTGTTTGGCAATTGCCTGAACACATTTTCTCAAGGAAACATTATATATGGTTGTTGGTTTCCCAGTTCTATCCAGTCAAAGCTTTAAAACTCAAATACCCTCAGGTCCCACCAGCCCATTAAAAATATTACTTCATTAAATCAAAATTTTACCTAGCTCATTGTCCCACCTGTGTAACTGTGTAATGATATAGTCCCAACACATTCTCTTTAAATTCTCCTCCAGTTTATTTTTTCAGAAGAGTCCAGATATTTCAAATGTACTCACCAGCTTGTACTCCTGCTTGTTGACTCAAGTTCCTGATGTGATGGTTGTACACTGTGAATCTATTTGTGGCCATAAGAAAGAACCTTGTCATTAGACTGCTAAGTATACAAACTCTCATGTAGAACACTTCTGCTTTATCAAGGATGACATCTGTCTCTGCCCCTACATTGCCAATGTTCACCCCATCCCAGGTGCAAAATGGCTCTGATATCACCTCAGTGCTTACTGCTTCAGAGCCACACGGGTTTTCACACATGCATGGATAGAATGTATATAATGATTATGGTACAGGCTTCAGAATCAGATTATCCAGTTAGACTCCTTTCCATCATAGACTAGCCGTGTGACTGCTGGTAAGTTATTTAATTTCCTTGAGGCTCGATAAGGAAACTTGTTATATCACACACCAATAGGTCTAGTTGCAAGCCAGCTCCAGAGCTGGTTAATTCTACAGCTCAATGATCTTGTCAAGGCCCCAATTGTCTTTCAATTTTCGGTTCTGTCATCTTCGTTGTGTTCTTATCAAGTTGTAGTTTATCCTACACAGGCAAGATAACAGCCAATAGAAAGAAAAGAATTGTTTCTTCTTTGTGTGTTTCCGTTTAAGAATTGATGAAATCTTTCCTAGAAATCCCTCTGCAGATTTCCATTTACTATACATTGGCCAGAATTGTATCAAAGCCCATGCTTAAGTCATAACTTGGACCAATGTTGGTTTTCTCCATGGAGCTAGGGCCTAGCTCCTTACAAGCACAGAGAATGTGGGAAAACCAAGCCACATCAGCCTTTCAGTGAGGAAGAAGAGGAGGACCAACTTCTGGGTGGAAACCAACAATATCTGCTAGTCTGTATAATACCATTAAATATTACACCAGGCAGAAAAAGGTCAGAAATGTAACTTTTAAAGTATTTTATGTAATTGTATTGGATGGTGTGTCATAAGGCTTTAAGAAGTTGATGTGTGCATTAAGAAGGGATTTTTATTAGGTGGATATTAGAGATGGAGAGAGAGGCCAGGGGACAGTGTGTCTAAAGGCACAGAGACTTAAGACATAAAAGCACGTCCAGGGAATTACAAATATTAGCATGCCTGTAGTAAATAATGCAAGCAGAGAGCAGAGGTAAATTAGGATAGAGAGGTAGGCAAGGGGTGGCTCACTCTGCTAAGGAGTCTGGACTTCATCCTACAGAATGAGAGTGCCACGATGGGTATTTCAGAAAAATCACACTAGTAGTCATGTGGAAGAGGAGTGAGTCTGAAGGATGAGTGGTCAGTGAAGAAGCCCTCCCAAAAGACCAGGAAGGAGAATGTGGATGAAGTATGGGGGTAAAGAGGAATGGACAGTTGAAGGATATCTAGTAGGTAGAATCAAGAGAATTTAATGACCAATGAAGTTAGAATGGCCTAGATCTGCTGCCTGATATGGGAAGCAGAGATTTCTAAAAAAAAAAAAAAAAAAAAAAAAAAAAAAAAAAGTGGGATTTTATTTTAACCATATTTTTATTCTAATAGGGTGGACTAAAAGCATTTGTTTGAACTTGTGCTCCAGTGAAAGATTACATCAAGACTGGCAGAGTTGACCTTAACACAATGGGCTTTGGGACAAAATTATGAAGTTTAACTTCCAACGTCTTTAATGTCCTCTTTCTGTTTTGTGACATTCTCAAAATATAACCAGCCAATTACTATTTTTTGAGCATTTATTCTGTGTCATCTTATAAAACAGAATTTACCATACAATGCCAGTATCTCAACTCAGGAGATGTGGTACAGTGTCTGCAAAGATGGTGACCCAGAATTCCTCCTGCCTCTGATTGTACATGCCATTTCTCCCATCAAGAGTTGGAATCTATTTCCTGTCCTCTGGAATAATAACTTGTAATGACCAATAAAATGTAGCAAAAAAAGGCACATGAGTTCTGGAGCCTAGACCTTCAGAGGCCTTGCTTTCTTGGATTTCTGAGCTATTGTGTTAAGAAGCTGACAAATCTGCTGGAGAGACCACATAGAAAGACAAAGTCCCAGCCAGCACCAAGCTGTCCCACCAGAGGTACTAACCATGGAGGTGAGACTAATTTGGATCTTCCCACTCAGTCAACTCTCCAGATGACTGATACTTATGTGTAACCCCAGGTGAGACCAACGGAAGTACTCTCCAGCTTAGCCAGGACCATGTTGTAGAATTGTAGGTAAATAAGTAGTTATTATTTAAAGCTACTAAATTTTGGAGTGGGAGAGAGAGAAACCTAAGCTGAGCACAGATACCCAAACAGGGGCTTGATCTTACAACCCAGAGATCGTGACCTGAGCCTAAATCAAGAGTCAGACACTCAACAAACTGAGCCACTCAGGCACTCCTGGGTCTTATTTATTTAAGCCATGCAAGAGTCAGGTCTATTTGGCCTGTGCCATCTTTTGTAAGTGAAACTGTGGTGGACACTGATTCCCACAGAAATGACTAAGATACATGGTTTGGAAAGTCCTTGCCATTTTTTCCTGGCAAGTTTCTTCTACATATGAGTTTATCTGAGATTAATGATTCTTATAAGTAATTTTAAGCTTGAAGAAGGTAAATCTACAAGTAACCTGTAGTTAGACTCAGTTCCAGAGAACACGCCAAGGAGCATGAACAAATGTCTCTCATCAAACAGAGCCTCTACCTGATTTCAAAATATAAAGCTACAATTATTACAGTAATCAAGACAGTGTAAAATGAATGTGAGGATTCACATGGATCAATAAAACAGACTAGAAAGTCAAGATAAAAAAGCTCATATTTTTGGGCAAAGTTGCCAAAGTAGTTCAATGATGGAAGGATAATTTTTCAACAAATATTGCTGGGACAACTAGATATGCATATGCCAAAAAAATGAAAATTCAACCCTTACCTCACACCATATACAAAAATCAAATCAAAATGGAATATTGACCTAAATGTAAAAGTTAACATTTTGAAACTTCTAGGAAAAAAACACAAGAGAAAATCTTTTTTTTAAACATTTTAGTTATTTATTCATGAGAGACATGGAGAGAGGCAGAGACATAGGCAGAGGGAGAAGTAGGCTCCCTGCAGGGGGCCCAATGCAGGACTTGATCCCCAGACCAAGATCACGCCCTGAGCCAAAGGCAGCCACTCAACTGTTGAGCCACTCAGGCATCCCTAAACATAGGAGGAAATCTTTGTAAACTTGAGGTGGGTAGGCAAAGACTACTTAAATATGATACTAAAATTATAATGACAATTTATTTCATATATTAGAATTTGTACAAATTAATAACTTTTGCCTTTCAAAAGATACCATTAAAAAATGAAAATATAATCCACAGACTGGGAGAATATATATATATGTATTATATATATAATATATAAATAAAATAATAATATATAAATATATATAAATAATGTATAAATATATAATATATATTTATATACAATATTTTTATTATAATATACAATATATAAATATATATTATATATATTTATATATTATATTTATATATAACATATATAATAGAAAACTTCTATTTAGAATATATATAGAATTCTTACAACTCAGTTACAAGACACCAATCTAATTTTAAAATAGGTAAAATATTTCAGTACATATTTTACCAAAAAAGAAATATAAGTAGTTAACAAACCTATGAAAAGACCTGCAAGCCCACTAAAATGTCTATACTTTAAAAAAAGGAGAGCCAATACCATGGATCCATAATAAAACTTAAATGAATCTCAAAAACTTATGCTAAGTGAAAGAAAAATCCAGACAGAGTGATACTATTGATATCAAATGTCTATAAATGGTAATTCTATAGAGTCAGAAAGATTACCCATCATCTAGGGCCGGGGTGGGAGCCAGCACTGACTGTAGATGAGCACAAGGGAACTTTTTGGAGTGATGGAAACATTCCAAAACTGGATTATAATGACAGCTGCATAACTTTATAACTTTATAAAAATAAGGCAAAACAAAACATTGAATTGTGCACTTGCAATGGGTAAATTTTAAGATATGTAAATTATATTTCAAAAATCCTATTTTTTAACTAGGAAAAAATAATGATATAAAGAAAAAAAAAGAAACTCTGAACAACAAATACATGAAATTTCATGAGATAGGCCATGTGAAAAATACACTATGAAGTTTTGAGCCAGATGTGAATTATGGCAATAATAATGACAATGATATGAGATGTTGTAATTGCAGAAAATAAATTTTTAAATGTATCAATTTAAGGTGAATTTAGTGACCAGAAGAATCTACATTAGACATAAAGAGGATATTAAAAGCTTTTTAGGACTTCTCTCTAGAATCATCCAAAATGGAGCCTCTTACAGCTTACGCTTTAAGACGTTCAGGGTCTAAAGCAAAGGTATTTGCAGTTTTACTGTCTATGGTTCTATGCACAGTAATGCTATTTCTTCTACAACTAAAATTCCTAAAACCTGAAATCAACAGCTTTTATACCTTTGAAGTGAAAGATGCAAAAGGAAGAACAGTTTCTCTGAAAAAGTTTAAAGGCAAAGTTACACTAGTTGTAAATGTGGCCAGTGACTGCCAACTCACAGACAGAAATTACTTAGCACTGCAGGAACTGCACAAGGAGTTTGGACCATTCCACTTCAGCATCCTTGCGTTCCCATGCAATCAGTTTGGAGAATCGGAGCCCTGCCCGAGCAAGGAAGTGGTGTCTTTTGCAAGAAATAACTATGGAGCGACATTCCCCATCTTCCACGAGATTAAGATCCTAGGATCTGAAGCGGACCCTGCATTTAGATTTCTTGTTGATTCTTCAAAGAAGGAACCAAGGTGGAATATTTGGAAGTATCTGGTCAACCCTGAGGAACAGGTTGTGAAGTCTTGGAGGCCAGAGGAACCCATTGAAGTCATCAGGCCTGAGATAGCAGCTCTGGTTAGACAAATGATCCTAAGAAAGAAAGACGACCTATGAACATGGCAGTGAGTCATTCGAATGCAATAATTGGAATATGGACATGTTTGTAGGGGGCTATGGTCTCATCTCAAAAATTCTGACAATTAAATGTGGCACTGAAGGATGGGGTGTTTTGTTTGCTTTTGGGATACCGTGCCAATGAGTGGTAATGAATGTCCCCAGGATGGAGATGTTACCTAAAGCAAAAATAAAGAGTAGCTAAAGAATCAAAATGAAATATATTAAATATTTCATTTGACCATACTAAATAATTCAGAATATAGAGTCACCAATGTGCTTCAATTTCCTGTTGTCCACCTTGCCATGTTCTAGGATTATACTTGATGGAAATGCAACACGCTAGACCACTGTTTGAATTCAAGCCACTGTATATGACTGAAATTTCAGGAGTAACTAACTGTAAAAGGCTATTTTTATGTAATAAAATACAAAATAAACATTGAAAAATAAAAAAATAAAAAATAAAAGCTTTTTAAAACTATAATGTTGTTAAATACTATACAGTTTTTTAAAAAAAATATCTGCATCACCATCTAGTGCCATCTTGAAATCGTTTTAACTTCATCTTGATTTGTATTTCCCTGATGGCAAGTGATGCAGAGCATTTTCTCATGTGCATGTTGGCCATGTCTACGTCTTCCTCTGTGAGATTTCTCTTCATGTCTTTTGCCCATTTCATGATTGGATTGTTTGTTTCTTTGCTGTTGAGTTTAATAAGTTCTTTTTTTTTTTTTTTTTTTATAAATTAATTTTTATTGGTGTTCAATTTACCAACATACAGAATAACACCCAGTGCTCATCCCGTCAAGTGTACCCCTCAGTGCCCGTCACCCATTCACCCCAACCCCCCACCCTCCTCCCCCTCCACCACCCCTAGTTCGTTTCCCAGAGTTAGGAGTCTTTATGTTCTGTCTCCCTTTCTGATATTTCTCACACATTTCTTCTCCCTTCCCTTATATTCCCTTTCGCTATTATTCATATTCCCCAAATGAATGAGAACATACACTGTTTGTCCTTCTCTGGTTACTATGGCCAAGTTCAAAAAGGGTGTTTCCTGAGTTCTCCTCTGGGATTTTGATGGAATCTTGTCTCACATTTAGATCTTTCATCTATTTTGAGTTTATCTTTGTGTATGGTGCAAGAGAGTGGTCCAGTTTCATTCTTCTGCATGTGGATGTCCAATTTTCCCAGCACCATTTATTGAAGAGACTGTCTTTCTTCCAGTGGATCGTCTTTCCTCCTTTATCGTATATTAGTTGAGCATAAAGTTCAGGGTCCACTTCTGGGTTCTCTGTTCTGTTCCATTGATCTATATGTCTGTTTTTGTGCCAGTACCACACTGTCTTGATGAACACAGCTTTGTAGTACAACCTGAAATCTGGCATTGTGATGCCCCCAGATATGGTTTTCTTTTTTTAAAATTCCCCTGGCTGTTTGGGGTCTTTTCTGATTCCACACAAATCTTAAAATAATTTGTTCTAAGTCTCTGAAGAAAGTCCATGGTATTTTGATAGGGATTGCATTATACGTGTAAATTGCCCTGGGTAACATTGACATTTTCACAATATTAATTCTGCCAATCCATGAGCATGGAATATTTTTCCATCTCTTTGTGTCTTTTTCAATTTCTTTCAGAAGTGTTCTGTAGTTTTTAGGGTATATTTTGAGAACCATTTGAATGGTAAATGGTTCTCCAACCTTTTATTTTCAGGTTGTAGGTGTCCTTCTGTCTAAAATGAGTCTCTTGTAGACAGCAAATAGATGGGTCCTGCTTTTTTATCCAGTCTGAAACTCTGCGCCTTTTGATGGGGTCATTAAGCCCATTCACGTTCAGAGTTACTTGAACTTCTTCTTAAAGGGGAGTTTTAAGAGTCCCCCTTAAAATTTCTTGCAGAGCTGGTTTGGAGGTCGCATATTCTTTCAGTTCCTGCCTGTCTTGGAAGCTCTTTATCTCTCCTTCCATTTTGAATGAGAGCCTTGCTGGATAAAGTATTCTTGGTTGCATGTTCTTCTCATTTAGGACCCTGAATATATCCTGCCAGCCCTTTCTGGCCTGCCACGTCTCTGTGGAGAGGTCTGCTGTTACCCTAATATTCCTCCCCATGAAAGTCAGGGACTTCTTGTCTCTTGCTGCTTTAAGGATCTTCTCTTTATCTTTGGAATTTGCAAGCTTCACTATTAGATGTCGAGGTGTTGAACGGTTTTTATTGATTTTAGGGGGGGATCTCTCTATTTCCTGGATCTGAATGCCTGTTTCCCTTCCCAGATTGGGAAAGTTTTCAGCTAGGATTTGTTCAAATACATATTCTGGCCCTCTGTCCCTTTCGGCGCCCTCGGGAACTCCAATTAAACGTAGGTTTTTCTTCCTCAGACTGTCATTTATTTGCCTTAATCTGTCTTCATGGTCCCTTAATTGATTGTCTCTTTTTTCCTCAGTTTCCCTCTTTGCCATTAACTTGTCTTCTATGTCACTCACTCGTTCTTCCACCTTGTTAACCCTCGTCGTTAGGACTTCTAGTTTGGATTGCATCTCATTCAATTGATTTTTAATTTCTGCCTGATTGGATCTAAATTCTGCAGTCATGAAGTCTCGTGAGTCCTTAATGCTTTTTTCTAGAGCCACCAGTAGCTGTAGAATAGTGCTTCTGAATTGGCTTTCTGACATTGAAGTGTAATCCAGATTTTGTAACTCTGTGGGAGAGAGGGCTGTTTCTGATTCTTTCTTTTGAGGTGAGGTTTTCCTTCTAGTCATTTTGCTCAGTGCAGAGTGGCCAAAAACAAGTTGTATTGGAACACGGGGGAGTATCACTGGTCCGTCCAGCTGGTCTTCTGGGGGAGGGGCCTGCTGTGCTGATTTTCAGGTGTTAGCACTTGGGGGAGCTGCTCTGCCCCTGCCTGCTGCAGGGCTCAGCGGGGGTTGTTTACCCCGTGAGGTCTCAGGAGGAACAGCCGCAGTTGCTATGGCAACTCTGGAAGCCTGGATTCAGCCTCTGCAGGAACTACGGGGCTCGGGGCTCTCGGTTCTCCGTCTGCAGGGCCTGGAGGCTCCGGGGCGGGGCCGCTGATCTGCTCAGCTCGGGGCAGGAGCGTCCTTGCTGTCCTGGGCCCTCCCGGCCTCTGCCTGTCCCGGGGGGGCCGGATCCTGGGCTGTGTCCCGGCGCCCTGTGCTCCGGGGCCTGCGCTGGTGGATTCGCGCTCCCGCCCTGCAGCTCCCTCCCTGGAGCCGCTCCCGAGCCCCTCCGAGCTGCTCCGGTCGGTCCCTCCGTGCGCGCTGCAGCCCTTAGGGAGCTCGGCGCACTCTCCAGGGGCGCAGGTGCCTGTTAGTGTCCCAGGGAGCCCGAGGGCATCCCCGCTCTCCTGGGTCCTGCTCCAACTCCCTGCGAGCCGAGTTTAATAAGTTCTTTATAGATTTTGGAAACTAGCCCTTTATCTGATATGTTATTTGCAAATATCTTCTCCCATTCTGTAGGTTGTCTTTTAGTTTTGTTGACTGTATCCTTTGCTGTGCAAAAGCTTCTTATCAAAACCACAATGAGATACCACCTCACACCAGTGAGAATGGGGAAAATTAACAAGGCAGGAAACAACAAATGTTGGAGAGGCTGCGGAGAAAGGGGAACCCTCTTGCACTGTTGGTGGGAATGTGAACTGGTGCAGCCACTCTGGAAAACTGTGTGGAGGTTCCTCAAAGAGTTAAAAATAGACCTGCCCTATGACCCAGCAATTGCACTGTTAAGGATTTACCCCAAAGATTCAGATGCAATGAAACGCCGGGACACCTGCACCCCGATGTTTCTAGCAGCCATGTCCACAGTAGCCAAACTGTGGAAGGAGCCTCGGTGTCCATCGAAAGATGAATGGATAAAGAAGATGTGGTCTATGTATACAATGGAATATTCCTCAGCCATTAGAAACGACAAATACCCACCATTTGCTTCAACGTGGATGGAACTGGAGGGGATTATGCTGAGTGAAGTAAGTCAATCAGAGAAGGACAAACATTGCATGTTCTCATTCATTTGGGGAATATGAATAATAGTGAAAGGGAATATAAGGGAAGGGAGAAGAAATGTGTGGGAAATATCAGAGAGGGAAAAAGAACATAAAGACTCCTAACTCTGGGAAACGAACTAGGGGTGGTGGAAGGGGAGGAGGGCGGGGGGTGGGGGTGAATGGGTGACGGGCACTGAGGGGGACACTTGACGGGATGAGCACTCGGTGTTATTCTGTATGTTGGTAAATTGAACACCAATAAAAATTAATTTATTAAAAAAAAAAACTTCATCTTGACTTCTCAGATTCCAGAGAGAGTGAAAGAAGTGAGAGCCAACCAAGTTTTCCTGCTTCTTGGTTTTTAAGAGTCCTTCAGCCAACCTCAGAAAGCAGATGAGTTCAAATATGTTGCTTTCTCCTCCTCTTCACATTATTTCCATTTCCCAGATTTCTGTGTTACTACTGTATTTGGTGTGTTTTTTATGCTTGTTAGTCATTTTCATTGCCTGCTCAGCTAGTCTGGGGTCCAGTCTAGTTGCAGAGGACCCTTATGAAGTTCCTCAAGTTGGTGGGCATTCAGGAAAGCAGGAAGATGTAGTGCAGGGCAAGGAAAAGGGAGGAAGCTGGCAGGGAAATTCCCAAACCCAACTCCCAGCCCTTTTTCTGGGGTCTAGCTACGATCTTTCCCTGAGAAATTTATTTTTTTACCCAGGTTTTTCTCCTCAATCATCCTACTTAGAGACATTCAAGGATGACTCACAGAGGGCCTTCAGTTGAATCCTTCACCTCCTCTCAAATGGAACAAGCATCTAAGGGCAAAGAAAAAAAATTATTAGTGCCCATATATCACTTTTAAAATGAAATAGAAGACTGTATGCTTCCAACTATATAACATTCTGGAAAAGGCAAAACTATGGAGATAGTAAAAAGATCAGTGGTCGCTAGGGTTGAGGGAGGGTGGGATAAATAACTGGAGCATAGAGGACTTCCAGGGCAATGAAACTACTCTGTACAATATTATAATGAAGGACACATGTTATGATGCATTTATCCA